CCACTCATTCAACCACTTTCTCTCTCTCTCTCAACCACTCACTCAACCACTCTCTCTCAACCACTCACTCACTCAACCACTCACTCTCTCAACTACTCACTCACTCACTAACTAAACCAATCACTCTCTCAACCACTCAAACACTCAACCATTCACTCACTTAAACAGTCACTCACTCAACTGCTCATTCAACCACTCAATCAACCACTCACTCTTTCAACCACTCAAACACTCAACTACTCACTCAGTCACTCAACCACTAACTCACTCAACCACTCACTCTTTCAACCACTTACTCACTCAACCACTCACTCAACCACACACTGTCTCAACCACTCACACACTCAACCACTCACTCACTCAACCACTCACTAAACCACTCAATCACTCACTCAACCACCCTCTCACTCACTCAACCACTCACTCTCTCAACGACTCACTCAACCACCCACTCTCTTAACCACTCACTCACTCAACCACTCTTTCTCTCAACCACATCAAACACTCAACTACTCACTCACTCCCTCAACCACTCACTCACTAAACCACTCACTCTCATAACCACTCAAACACTCAACCACTCACTCACTTAACCAGTCACTCACTCAACCACTCACTCACTCACTCAACCACTTACTCAACCACTCACTCACTCAACCACTCACTCACTCAAGCACTCACTCACTCAACCACTCACTCTCTCAACCACTCACTCATTCAACCACTCACTCACTCAACCACTCACTCTCTCAACCACTCACTCTCTCAACCACTCTCTCCCAACCACTCGTTCAACCACTCTCTCTCTCAACCACTCACTCAACCACTCTCTCTCAACCACTCACTCTCTCAACCACTCACTCACTAACTAAACCAATCACTCTCTCAACCACTCAAACACTCAACCACTCACTCACTTAAACAGTCACTCACTCAACTGCTCATTCAACCACTCAATCAACCACTCACTCTCTCAACCACTCAAACACTCAACTACTCACTCAGTCACTCAACCACTAACTCACCCAACCACTCACTCTTTCAACCACTTACTCACTCAACCACTCACTCAACCACACACTGTCTCAACCACTCAACCACTCACTAACTAAACCACTCAATCACTCACTCAACCACCCACTCACTCACTCAACCACTCACTCTCTCAACCACTCACTCAACCACCCACTCTCTTAACCACTCACTCACTCAACCACTCTTTCTCTCAACCACATCAAACACTCAACTACTCACTCACTCCCTCAACCACTCACTCACTAAACCACTCACTCTCATAACCACTCAAACACTCAACCACTCACTCACTTAACCAGTCACTCACTCAACCACTCACTCACTCAACCACTCACTCAACCACACACTCTCTCAAGCACTCACACTCTCAACGACTCACTCTCTCAACCACTCACTCTCTCAACCACTCACTCACTCAACCACTCACTCAACCACTCACTCTCTCAACCACTCACACTCTCAACCACTCACTCTCTCAACCACTCACTCAACCACTAACACAACCACTCATTCTCTCAACCACTCACACACTCAACCACTCACTCACTCAACCACTCACTCTCTCAACCACTCACTCTCTCAATCACTCTCTCCCAACCACTCACTCAACCACTCTCTCTCGCAACCACTCACTCAACCACTCGCTCTCAACCACTCACTCACTCAACCACTCACTCACTCAACCACTCACTCACTCAACCACTCACTCACTCACTCAACCACTCACTCACTCAACTACTCACTCACTCAACCACTCACTCACTCACTCAACCACTCACTCACTAAACCACTCACTCTCTCAACCACTCAAACACTCAACCACTCACTCACTTAACCAGTCACTCACTCAACTGCTCATTCAACCACTCAATTAACCACTCACTCTCTCAACCAGGCGTGTGTGTAGGTGAGTGAATTGGTGAATGAGTTGGTCAGTGAGTGAGTGGGTGAGCGAGTGGATGCGTATATGAGTGTGTGGCTGAGTGTGTGAGTTGGTTAGTGAGTGGGTGAGTGAGTGGGTGAGTGAGTAGGTGAATGAGTTGGTGAGTGAGCATGTGAGCAGTTGTAACCATCACAACAGGCGCGTCGCTGTTAATTACGTGGCGCACTATGCGACGACGTGGTTTGTTTGGCTGTGTCAGGTGGTGGAGGGGTCTCACGACACAGAATTGACCAGACCATCATGTACGTGACCCTGACCGACAACTCATGTTGTGAATCACGAAGAACACAACCGCTCGCTTTGAACCCCAAAACCACCGCACTGTCGGGATGAACACGACCTCTCGGAACGTGAGACACTCCGTGTCAATAAAGTTACGTTGTATACAAAGTTATCAATAAAGTTACGTTGTATACAAAGTTATAAAAGTAACATGGGGGGGGAGGGAGGCCGAGGCGGTGGGGGGGGATATCCGCGCCCCAATCCCTTGACGATTTCCATGGATCGTATCGCAACGCTCATTCGATCGATTTATTTCTCATCATATTAATCGGTTTGTTGAAGAAAGCTCGTGGCTACACTGATGTCCCGTGAACTCGTTGCAGAATTCTTGTTTTCATTTTAAATCGTTTTTATTCTCGTGTGCGTTTGGACACACCCGTCGAAACCGGTTAAGAGCGGCTAATACCGGTTAATACCGGTTTTTGCCGCGCATGAATGTGACTCTTTACTTAGTCTGGAGGAATCCGATGAGCTTTGAAGCTCTTTTGTATCCACAGACGTCGACGAAACGCAACCTGGAGCGATAAGAGAGAAACCGAGGCAGCTCCCCCAGTGGTCACGGTGGTAACCGGCACACTGCCAACACGCCCAAGCCAATCGCCACGAAGTGAAGGTGACGTCACCACGTTGCCTGTGCCAGGCTAGGTGCACGTTGAGGCCACGGGAAGTGTCGAAGGCTCGCTGGCAGGAGGAGGTCACGGGACAGACTCAGCAGGTGCCAAGGGTTGACCGACTGAGATGACCGGTAAGCTGTCCCCCCTACTGTGCCAACAGCAGCAAAGGCAAAGACAAAGATCCCCAGTGTAGCCTTAACAGACTGTAGGGGCAAGCGCTGTTAGCGCGCAGCGCCTATGAAGTCCGGCACGGCACACGAGGGGGTGGGTGGCCAGCACCACGCCCGACCGCCTTTGTCTCCCCAATGGCTGATGTTTACACACCGCACCAGGTACTCATTTGAGGCTGAGTCGACCTAGGGGAGGTCCAGGACCGGCTCAGATCATCGTCACCGATGTTGGTGGCCGTGAGCGGCAATCGAACTCGGCTCGCCGGTTTCGTAGCGCGGCGTAGCGCTAACTGCTGCGCCACCGCTCCCCACTCCACCACCACCACCTCCACAAAGCACTTCCCACCCAGAGGCTCGCCGGTTTGACTCCATCTCCCGGCATGCCGGGAGATTCAATCGCACCGCGCGGGTTGTGCATACTTTTATTTTATTTAAAATTGTTTTTTTTAATCAGTGCATTCATCCACTGGCACAGCAATTTCTTGACGTTCGGAACCGGTTAAAACCGCTACCGCAAAACCACCGTGATGAATTACCGCATTCTCCGCACTGGAAGGCGCCCTCGAAATAAAAACAAGAAGTCAAAAAGTTGTTTCGACGAAGAACCCGCGCTTTAGCGTCCGTTTACAGCCCTGAGCCAGTGGTGGCAATTCCACATTCCTATGGCAGGGGGAAGGGGTGGCAGGGGGGTTGGCGGGTCGGGTTAACATCTACCGGATTATAAGACGCAACCACAACTTTTGATTTAATATAAATTGCAGGTGGGTGCGGTGGGGGGTGGGGGGTGGGTGTGGATGTGCGGGGTAAAGTTCGTCTTCTAATCCGGAGAATACGGTACTGCCCGTTAGAAGGTCGCGGCAGCGGCTTTGAAGGCACTCATTCTGGTTACCGTGTTTAAGTCGCTATTGCTGAGGTGGGAAGCTTCCTCAGATTTCCGAATGGAATTCACAACTCAGCGCCGGTCTCACGCGGACGCGAGCGTCAGAAGAGGCTCACATCATCACCACGTTGGTCTTCATCCAGCAGTTGATAGACCGTGGTGATGATGATTAAACAGAGAGAGAGGGAGGGAGGGGAGCACGTGGACGAGAGGACACACACGCGGGGTAGAGGAGGCATCGTGCAGACCGTGAAGCGGAGTGAGTGGAGGGGCTTGGGCAGGAGGCGTCACGGCCAGAGGGGGGACGGCGGTGGCCGATGGTCGAGACTCAGCACGGAGCGGCAGCCGAGGGAGGGGACGCGGCGTCCCGGGAGGACGTCCACCACCAGAGAGACGGAGACACGGGAGGGAGGGAGAAGGGGAGGGTGGGGTGGGCTTCATCCAGCAGTGGATTGACCACAGCTGATGTTGGCGGGGATGGTGATTGTTATAACTGGGCAGCAGGAACGATTTGGGAACGGAAGAATGCACGTGCGGATGGTTTGTGCCAATGCATCTCCTGCAGAGAGAGAGAGAGTGTGTATGAATGTGAGGAGCGGTGGCGCCGTGGTTAGCGCACTGCGCTACGAACCTCGGCCAGCCGATTTCGATTCTCGCTCACGGCAAGACGTGTAACAGTAGTAGCGAATATTCGAAACCGGTCTTGGGCCTCCCCTAGGTCGACTCAACCTTAAATGACTATCCTGGTGAAAATCAGGCCTTAATATGATTGCTACTCGCGAGCAGCACTTGCCCCAGCAGCCTGCGAAAGGCTACCTGGGGGTGGGAACCTCATCTGTGTGTGACGTGTCTGTGTGACGTGTCTGTGTGACGTGTCTGTGTGACGTGTCTGTGTGACGTGTCTGTGTGACGTGTCTGTGTGACGTGTCTGTGACGTGTGTGTGTCTGTGTGACCAACGTTGCACACATTTATTGAATCCGGGCGCTATCGAATATATTTTTTATTTTAATAGGAGGGGGTGTGAAGGGTAGGACGGGGGGAGGGGGGGCGATCGAGGGGTGGGGGGCTGTGGGGGCTGGGGAGGGGCGGGGCGGGGTGGGGAGGGGTCGCAGGGGTGGGGAGTGCGTCTTACTTTCCGGTGCGTCGGCGAGAATGCGGATCTCGATGGCGATGATTTGTGTGACGTGCGTGACGAGTGTTACGTGTGTGTGTGTGACGTCTGTGACATGCGTGACGTGTGTGACGTGCGTCTGACGTCTGTGACATGCGTGACGTGCATGTGCCGCGTGTAACTGACGTGGCTGACGTGTCCCGTGACGTATGCATGACGAGTGCGTAACGTGTGCGTGACGTGAAAGTGACGTGCGTGTGCCACGTGCGCCGTGTCTATGACGCTTCTGTGACGTCTGGTGTGACGTGTGAGCGTCTGTGTGACGTGTGTGTGTGACGTCTGTGTGACGTGCCTGTGACGTGTGTGTGTGTGTGTGACGTGTGCATATAAAGGCAATGTGGCGTGTCCCACGTGTTCGATCCCCGCCTTTGGCTTAACGACCATTGTCGCTTAATCCGCTCCGACCGAGCGTCGCACAAAGGCCTTCTCTCGCGTCTGAGTGAGCACCAAAGGGAGCCCCACTGTGGCTCGGGTTTCGCAATCTCCCCTTTAGGGAGAAGGGGTGGCGAGGAGGAGGAGGAGGAGGGGGGGGGAGGCGGGCGTCAAGAGACTGAGGGGTTGCTAGAAGTCTACATTTAGAACACAGTTCAGTGTGCGTGATGAGCACGCGGAGGGGAGCAGAGTGCAGAGTATGGGGGAGGAGGTGGAGCAGGGGGCGGAGGAGGTTGCGTCGAGAGGCGAGTCTGTCACGGACGTGGCCACTGTGAACCTGCAACTCGTGGAGTTCACCGGGACGGGGCGAATCACCGTGTCCACCCCTTAACCCTCCCGCCGCCGCCGCCACCGCCGCCTCCTCCGACTCCACCACCGCCTTGACACACGTACCACTCGGCCAGATTCGTGGCCGTGCGCGGCGGCGAGAAAGAGGAGGAGGTGGCCGTGGACGACGACGACGATGACGACGACGATGGCGGCTGCGGTTGCGGTGGCTGATGCTGGCTCTGGTGGCCGGGGGAGGGCGACTCGGGGCGACTCGAGGTTGCTGGCGACTTGGCACTGTGGGCCTTCATGTGCTTGCGCAGGGAGCTGGGGTGCGTGTAGGACTTGTCGCACAGCTTGCACAGGTAGGGCTTGTCTGACGTGTGCACGTGCATGTGCTTCTTGCGGTCGCTGCTGTTCGCGAAACGTCGGTCGCAGCCCACGAACTCGCAGCGGAACGGTTTCTCTCCTGGGTGGGGGGCCGAGGAGGGGGGGGGGGGAGAGAGAGGGACAGAGAGGGCGGTGAGCGACGCCTCCTTCGCGTATAGCAATCGATGTGCGTCATGGAGAAGCGACGTTGCCAGAAACGTCGCCCATTATATTTGTTTTCCTTTTTAATGGCCACACACACGGTGGTGGTGTTGTTGTTATTGACACGGGCCGTGTTGTTGTTGTTGTTGTCGTCGCTGTGCTTGTGTTTAACGACAGCACTGGGGGAGACAAAGGCTGCCGGGCGTGGTGCTAGACACACCGCCCTCATTAGAGGTGCCACCGTGCCGGCCTTTATCTGTGCTCGCTAACAGCACTTGCCCCAAACGCCTGCGCAGGCTACACCGGGGACATTTGTCTTTGTGCGCGTATGTACAGTGATCAACACTGACACCTTAGTCTGACTCTATGAGACCGCTTGCTACGGGAGAGCCTTCAGTGATAACCATTGAACCCTATGAGCTTCAGTGATTTACACTGAACCCTATGAGCCTCAATGATTCACACCGCCCCCTATAAAAGCCTCGGCGATTAAACACTGAACCCCTATGAGCGTCGGTGATTAACATTAAACCCTGCGAACCTCGGTGATTAACATTGAACCCTATGAGCATCAGTGATGGACACTGAACCCTATGGGAGCCTCAGTGATTAACGCAGGGGGAGGAATGGCAAGGCCAGCACGAGGCGTTCATGTTTGGGGTGATTATTCTGAACGTCTGCGTTGTTCCACGTAGACTCGGGACGATACGTAGAGACCCATAGTGATACAAAGAGACTCGGAATTTCGCAGAGATATTTAGAAACTGACAACGATACATAGTCGCATAGACTCAGAGATACATATTGTGATACGTGGAGACACAGAACTAGAGTCTCACAGAAATGCATCGTCTTACGGAGATACATAGAGACTCATAGAGATACAAAGAGACTCACACAGATGTATAGAGACGCACATATAGGTGTAGAGACTCAAAGCGATACACAGAGCCACAAAGACTCATAACGACACGTAGAGACAGATACATAGAGACACGTAGGCTTATAGAGGTACATGGAGACCCATAGAGATACTAGAGACGCACGGAGATACGTAGAGACCCAAAGAGATCGAGATTCGTAGAGATGCGTGAGAGACACGCTGCAGTGGTGGGACCGTGAGGTAATTCAGCCCACGATGTGGGCCACAGAGTGAACCAGCGACTGCAGTTTGCGCTCCTTCAACGGAGGACGAGAAGATGGATGAGCAGCAGCCCCACACGAACTCTCTCTCTCTCTCTCTGTACAATACAGGTGTCTGGGTTAGATCGCGTAAATATATAAATGTGTCGTTAAACCGGCCACCACCCGACACGGCCAATTAGTGTTGTTTGTCACGTGACACAGAACGTGCCAATTCTTTGCCAGTACGGCAACGAATTGGCACAACAATTCTCTCGCTCTCTCTCTCTCGTATTCACCTTCTGAAGCTCTCGCTCGTCACCGTGGCGTGCGCGATGACCACCACAACCACCACCACCACCACGTGACTTTTCTTTCGTGTTGTGCGCGGTGCTTTTAGCGCCACAGCGCGTGGATTTGCAACGTTTATTTTCATTTGTGTTGCTGGTGACTTTGTGTTTCATATCGAAATGCTTTTTGCTGCTGGCGGCAATGAAAGTTGTTTAAAAGTCAAAGTCTCTCTCTCTCTCTCTGCTTCTGCAGTGATCTCGTCGTGACAGCAGCAGCAGCAGGAAGAGGAGGCACCCCCGTACTGGAAATCGAGCTGCTGGGCAACTGGACGACACAATTCTTGGTTCTTTCGGTAAAGTAACGTAGATAGAAAATAAAAATAATAAAATAAAAGTGTTAAATTAAAAATAAATTGGAAAATAATAAAAGCAACACCAGCGATCGAAACGTCGCGGGGTTTTTTCTTTGCTTTTATTATTTTAAAATTTTTATTTTATTTTATTATTTTATTATTTGTATTTTCTATCGCCGTCACTTCACCGAAAGAACCAACAATATCAATTCCTGCAGTCACGGAAGCTTGAAGTCAACATTTCACTGGACGACCACAACGACATTAGCAGCACTGCTGCTGCTAATGTCATGCACGAGAACTGAACTTAAAAATGAAACACATTCCTGCGGAGGGAGCTGGTAGGAACGTTGGGTTGCTCGGTCAATGGCCAGGGTCAACAACGGCGGCACCACGTGGTGTATTCCGCAAATATGCCCGACTGTGAGGGCGGGCACAAGCCGGCGTGAGTAGGTTAAACGTTGAGTTTTATAAGGGCACCACGGGGTGACCAGCCCATCCCCACCCAGCCCCACCCCTCCCAGCCCCCACCCAGCCCCACCTTCCCCTGATCACCCAGCCCCTCCCCACCCAGCCCCTCCCCACCCAGCCCCTCCCCACCCTCCCCTCTCCACCCAGCCCCACCCCTCCCATTTTTTTTAAATATCCGAATATCCGGATACACGCGGACAGACATCCACAGACATACACAATGAATCCCCTGCCTCCTGGGAATTAATCCCGGTTGAGCTTCCAGTGCACTACGTTTCCTACCAGTAAAATGTAACCCTTCATCCGGTGTCCAGGTGTGACCATCCCCAACCCCTCATCCCACCCCTCTTCATAGCCACGCCACGTGGAGCCCCCCCCCCCCCTTCGGCAAACGTGGGGGGCCGAACCAGTGCAGTCGCACCGCCAGCGCACGTCCCTCCACAGGCACCGCTCCACCTCCTCCTCCTCCACCTCCTCCTCCACCTCTTCCACTGCGAGCGTGGTGAGGAGGTTGCACCGAGCCAGGCCAGGCCATCGGCGGTGATGAGTTCAGTCAGAACGATCACAGCAATTACCGCAATCCACCTCGTCACCCTCCACCCCTCCCACTGCCTCCAACTCGTCATCACCCCCGCCCCTCCCCCTGCCGACCGAGCCCCTCTCTAAGCAATGGCCTCGCATCCAGATGTTTATGAATGGGGGGGAGGGGGGGGGGGCTGTGTCGGTTTATGCAAATGAGGTTAATTAAGGGGGTAACGCGTGCGGGGGGGGGGGAGCGGGGGGAAGGCGGAGTGGATTAATTAATTAGTGGCCTCGGAGCACGTCCGCGGAGGAGATGGAGCGGTGCAGTCAGTTCGAGTGGACCGTGAGTTCAGAGCCGCCTTCCACCCCTGGGGTGTGGCGAATCAGGGCGATCGCCCTGAGCCCCGCACTTTGCGGAGGGTGGGGGGGCACGTGGGGGAGACCACGCGGTGGGTGGTTTACCCCGGACCTTTATCCAGCAGTGGATTGGTCTCTGTGTGAGTCTGTGGGTTTCTGTGCGAGTCTGTGGGTCTCTGTGTGAGTCTGTGGGTCTCTGTGCGAGCCTGTGGGTCTCTGTGTGAGTCTGTGGGTCTCTGTGCGAGTCTGTGGGTATCTGTGTGAGTATGTGTGAGTCTGTGGGTCTCTGTGTGAGTCTTTGGGTGTCTGTGAGAATGTGTGGGTCTCTGTGTGAGTCTGTGGGTCTCTGTGTGAGTCTGTGGGTCTCTGTGTGAGTCTGTGGGTCTCTGTGCGAGCCTGTTGGTCTCTGTGTGAGTCTGTGGGTCTCTGTGTGAGACTGTGGGTCTCTGTGTGAGTCTGTGCGTCTCTGTGTGAGTCTGTGGGTCTCTGTGTGAGTCCGTGGGTCTCTGTGTGAGTCTGTGCGAGACTGTGGGTCTCTGTGCAAGTTTGTGGGTCTCTGTGTGAGTCTGTCGGTCTCTGTGTGAGACTGTGGGTCACTGTGTGAGTCTGTGCGTCTCTGTGTGAGTCTGTGGGTCTCTGTGTGAGTCCGTGGGTCTCTGTGTGAGTCTGTGCGAGACTGTGGGTCTCAGTGCAAGTCTGTGGGTCTCTGTGTGAGTCTGTCGGTCTCTGTGTGAGACTGTGGGTCACTGTGTGAGTCTGTGCGTCTCTGTGTGAGTCCGTGGGTCTCTGTGTGAGTCTGTGTGAGTCTTTGGGTGTCTGTGAGATTGTGTGGGTCTCTGTGTGAGTCTGTGGGTCTCTGTGTGAGTCTGTGGGTCTCTGTGTGTGTCTGTGGATCTCTGTGTGAGTCTGTGGGTCTCTGTGCGAGTCTGTGGGTCTCTGTGTGAGTCCGTGGGTCTCTGTGCGAGTCTGTGGGACTCTGTGTGCGTCTGTGTGAGTTTAAGGGTGTCTGTGAGAATGTGTGGGTCTCTATGTGGGTTTGTCGATCTCTTTGTGAGTCTGTGGATCTCTGTGTGAGTCCGTGGGTCTTTTTGTGAGTCTATGTGAGTCTATGGGTGTCTGTGAGAATGTGTGGGTCTCTGTGTGAGTCCGTGGGTCTCTGCGTGAATCTGTGGGTGACTCTATGAGTATGTGGGTCTCTGGAAGTGTCTGTGAGTATTTGTGTGAGTATATGGGTATCAGTGTGAGTCTGTGGGTCTCTGTGTAAGCCTATGTGTGTCTGTGTGAGTCTGTGGTCCATGGGTCTACTCTAAGTGAGTCTATTAAATTAAATTTACAATGAATGTATATTGAGTCCATATGTCGCCGCATCTGAAGACATCGTAGAGATGATGCGAGGTTTATTTTATGGAGAGAGGCAGTTTTCGAGCTGGTGGCGGAGTGCCGAACCACTGCGACACGGATCCCCACATACTAAGACAAAGATGCCCCGTATAGCCTTGAACAGACTCTTGGGCAAGTGCTGCCAACGACCATCGCGTAAGAAGGCCCGCACAGCACGCGGAGGAATGATGTATGACCAGGGCAGACACATTTAAGGTTGAGTCGACCTAGGGGAAGCGCAGGACCGGTTCAGATACCCGTCAATGATATCAGCTAATGCACAAAGACAAATACACGCAGAAACACAAAAGACAAAGATGCCCCGTGTAGCCTTAACAGACTGTTGGGGCAAGTGCTGTTAGCGAGCACCTACGAAGGCCGGTACGGCACACGAGGGGGGTGGGTGGCCAACACCACGCTCGGCCGCCTTTGTCTCCCCAGTG